ATGGAGCATATCATCTCTCTCATGGAGGCATTTTGTACCTCAGCCTGGGACAGGTCTCAGGGCCTTTGTATGTGCTGTGCTCACTGCCCAGGAAGCAACTCTCTTTGATTCTCTCACCTGCCACTGCTGGCTGAGATGACCCCCTCCTCACAGTCCTTCTCCCTGACCACTGGGCAAAGGGGCAGGCAGTCCCCTAGTTGCCCCCTTCACACATTCTAGCGCCATTACTCTGCTTTTCTTGCCCACATGAGCACCTGCCAATTAACTTACTACCGTCTGTCTCCTGGGTTTCCCATGAGACCTTGAGGGCAGGGCCCCGTTTTCTCCTGCTCACAGCTGCATCTCCAGCACCAAGCACTAAGTATTTGTGGAATAAATGAAAAAAAAAAAAAAAAAAACCTGTGCAAAGGCCTGACATCCAAGTGCTTGCATCCTTGATGTGGTTACCGAAAGCAGTGGGCTGGGGATGTAACTCAGTGGTAGAGCAAAGCCCTGGGTTTAAACCCCAGCGCTGAAGGAAAAAAAAGAGACAGCAGGGCAGGTGTCATTTATTTATTGATTTCTTCCTGATTACTCCAGGAAGATAAGGAGGTGGGCTTAAGAATCATCTGCCCTCTTAGATGGCAAGAGCTTTTGAATTCATACAGTAAGGTGACCGCATTTGGGTCTGAACTGGAAGGACTGACCCCAGGGCCCCAGCTACACTGGTGAAGCAGTGCAACAGCAGCCCCTTTCCCAAGAACCAGTGAAGCAAGCTCTACCACAGATTGGGAAACAGGGTCCAGGCATCTCATCAGGAGATGAAGAGTCAAGAGTCTGTCACATCAGCCTGCGCTCCTAGTGGGTCACAAATCATCACCACCCTGGATGGCTTAGAAGGCTTTTACCAGAGCAGATCATAGAGTCACCAGGGCTGGAGCTGCAGGCCAGGGCAGCCCTTGTTTGCATTCTTCCTCCCAGTACAGCTTGGGGAAGAGGGGACAGCTTAGGTGAGGACCAGGGCTCCACAGACATGGGTCCAGACAGCCAGGGAATGGGCAGAAGGTCAAGAAGAAGAGAAGGTGGGGGGTACAATGACATTCAAAGACCAAGATAAGCCCAGAGACTGTGAGCTGGAGGCCAAGACAGCCAGCAGCTCAGCCCCAACCCCCAAGGCCCATTCTGGCAGAAGACTAGACTATTGCAGAAAAGTGCTTTGCCCAAGGCTGTCCAGCCCAGAACTCAGGCCGTGGGTGCCTTCCTGGTGTCTCAGTCACTGCCACTACCTCCCTGTTGAATTTCCAGGATTCCAATGCCAAGGTGGGATGCCAGAGTGTGCCCATGGCGCACATACATCTGGGGTAGGTGTGGCAGCTCGCCTAGTGCCCCTCGGAGGCAGCACTTTCTTTGCCTGAAAGAAAAGAGAGGATAGAAAGCCACTGTGAAACTGTGCCTCAGACACCAGCTGAGCTGGAAGGCCCAGAGGCCTGGGCCCTGAGAGTCTGTTTGACAGGGGACAAAGATGATGAAAGGACAGAAACACCACTCAGGCTAATCATGCACCAGGCCCTCAGAGGGTGCTCGTTTTACCCCACTGTGCTTGTGGTGTGGCATGTGCTAAAGACAACAGCCCAATTCCACAGGGTATGAAACAGAGATGAAGGGAATGGCTGGGGTCCTGGTGACAGCCAGGGAACACTGAGATGAGAACTAAAGTGTGGGGAGGAGATGGGCAGCTGCATCTTCAGACAGACTGCTGAGGCACAAGGTTCCCTGTGAGCAGGTGAGCCGCAGACAGAGGAAGCCGAGCTGGCAGAATGCATACCCAAGAACACCACCAGCAGTGGCACAGGTGTCCTGAACCGCACCAAGTACCAGGCCCGAGGGTTCTGCATCCCATGCAGCCGTTCTTATCGGCCCTGGGAAGGAGCCTCTGCCATCACAGGCACTAAACAGAGGAGGAGGCAAACTTAGAGGCTGAGAAGCAAGCCTGAGATCACGACCACAGGGACACGCAGCACATGACCCAGGTCCTCAGCTTTGCTGGCCCCAACTACTGACTATAGCTATAAGAAGGGCCAGGACTCCAGAGAAAACCCTTTGTCATACCCTCCCACAGATGCCCCCTCTAGATCACACAGAGGGAGCTAAAATTTGCAGCCACTTTTTGGGGTGACCCTGGGAAGGTTGTGGGCAGTGTGATTTGGTGCCCCTGATACTTTGCCATAGAAAGTGAACAAGCAGGGGCTGGGGATGTAGCTCAAGCGATAATGTGCTCGCCTGGCATGCGTGGGGTGCTGGGTTCGATCCTCAGCACAACATAAAAATAAAGATGTTGTGTCCACCAAAAAACTAAAAGATAAACATTTAAAAATTTTTTCTCTCTCTCTCTTTAAAAAAAAGAAAGAAAGAAAGAAGAAAAGAAAGAAAGTGAATAAGCACAGATGTGTCCTCCCTTGCCCCAGACCTCTGCAGTGTGTGTAGTTGTCCTCCAGCTGCAGAAGGTCAGCTTACCTTTAGGGATGAACTTCAGCGAGCTGCTAAATATTCAGAATCTGGATTGCCCAGGCTTGGGGCCATCGTTCAGGAATTCATGGCCCAGACCATTGCCACATCTGCCACAGGACACCTGGGAAGCCCACAAGGTAGCCATGTCAGTTCTGGCCCATCAGACAGCCCTGGTGCAAACCAGTCCTACTGTGGAAGGCTGACCTTCGTCCTGGGGGCCTAGGTAGGGAAACTGCCCTGATGCCCGCGTTCCACCAGGACATTAGGCTTTCCCCAGGTATGGAGTGGCAGTCCCCTTGCTGAGGCCAGAAGCCTCAAATAGTCACCCTGGAATTCCCAAGAGTTGTGGGGGAAGCAAGGAAGGAAGATGTGACTGGTTCTCTGGCTCTCCCTGAACAAGCCCCCAACTCTGGTCACTGTCACCCACCTTCAGGGCCTGAGGTCGATTGTGCTCCGCACGCTTGGCCACACTGTCAGCGTGGATGGTCTCAGTGAATGCTGGCCATGGGGATGAGTGTGCGTACTTCGCATGGCTGGAGAAGAGCTCATAGCCACACTTGGCACACACATAGATGCCTGGAGTGTGGAGAAAGTAAAGGCAGAGAAATCTCAATGGCCGCATGATTTGGAATCTTTTAACATTTCCATTTTATGGATGAGGAAGTTGAGGCTTGGTACTRTGGACATCCAGTAAGGTATGTGGCCAGGAAGAAGCCCAGGCAATCTGATAGGGACAGAGCACTCACCTCACCACACCCTGCAGAACCCACAGAGAGAGGCCCTGAGKGGTCAGCATGACCACCTGGCCCCACTCCCATTTCAGGCAGCTATCCTACTACCCAACAAAGCCCTGAACTGGACACCCACCCACTGGCCTGCTCTCCAGGGAGGAAGAAGATAGTCACAGAGAACAGGCCTCCAGCAGACAGGGAACCCAGAAAGACAGGGGCCCGGAGGACAGATTTCAACCCATCCCCAAAAGATCACTTTGTGGTGGAGAGGGCAGGGGCAGAGAAGTTTGCAAAACCGACTTGCAGATTATTTGAAGAACTCAAAACAGGAAACTCCATGGGTACTGAATCACTCCCCACCTATCTGGGGACAGCCTCCCCTGAAGTCTGTGAATTATTCAGCCTTTACCAGGAACTCAAGCAGGAAGCAAAGAACTAGAGATGCTATGGAATGGAGTTTCCCTTGGCATAGGACAAGCGGGGTCTCATAGCCAGAGGGTCTCAAGGAACAGCTTTGCCCTCATGGTCCTGTGTCACAGCTGGTCCCATAGTGCTCAGTGTCATAAGCCAGTCCCCTAGAGGATTAACACTCAACAGATCCCATACCAGGGAGGCCTGTGCCCTAGTCTTTCCTGTGGATGTGTTTTTACCAAATTAGTCCATTATCAGGAGTCCAACCAGCTAGATGAGAACTTACCAGGGCCTCTCACGGCCTGGGGCCAGGACTGAGGTTGGGGTATGCCCCAAACTACCGCATCCATTTAGTCACTTGCCAAATTTCACTGACAGCTGCCAAAAACTGCACCCCTGGATACCCAACCCTGAAGGCATGGGCAGGTGGGGGAGGACACAGACGGGCACATTTTTATTCTGTGCTTGCTCACTCTCCAGCCGAAATGGGAACCCGAACTGCCTTTGGGCTAGATAGATTTTCCATCGCGCTGTTCAGAAGACCAGTATACCCCGGCCTCCTCACCACCCGCTACACAGCTGGACCCACGGCTTCCCCCAGTTCTCCCCTGGGGTCCTCCTACTCCCAGGACCTCCGGGGTTCCTCCTCCTCGACCCCCTTGGCCTTCGATCGCTTCTCATCAGCTGCCACACACGTCCCATTCCCGGACTTGGACTCCACCACCACCCGGAGTGAGGGGACTCCCCTTCTTATGCACGCCCTCCACCCCACTCCCTCCCGGCAGGGGTGACAGGCTGGACCTGGCTGAAAGTGGTTCTGGAAAGCCTCGTTCCCGAAGAAGCTGCAGAACGACATGGCACCGCCGGGACAGCCTGAAGCTTGCAGCCCGGGACAGCCTAAAAAGCAGACTGGAGGGAGCCGGCCCGCGCCCGYCTCCCCTTCCGGAGGACCATTCACTCTGCAGCTGCCCCAGCCCCGCCCCTAMAAAGGACCAATCAGAGGGGCACCAGAATTTCGCCCGGCCCGCCTCCCGATACCCCGGCCCTTCTCGAAGACTGGCTGGATCCTGTCTTCCAGCAGGCCTCGCCCATCGGTGTCTCCTACCGACCACTCCCGACCGCTTCCCAGAAGCCCCGCCTCTGCCGCGCAAAGGCCCGCCCCGTCCCGTCCCTAAGGCCACAGAGTCACACGGCTGCAACGGGATCTTGGGGATTCAAGGGGATCTTGGAGACTCCTGCGACCAGGCTCCAGAGTGGGATGGCGATGCACCACGGACCCGCATCCCTTCGCCCTATCTCCAGAGCTAAGCCCTGAGCCACCGACCGGCCCTTCCGGCCTTTCTCGCGCCCTCAACTCTCTGAGACACTGGGAAGAGTTGACCCCGGTCTTTATTGGTCAGAACAGGCAGGTGGGGTGTGTGCATCTCAGGCCCACGTAGCTTATAAGTCTCCCGAGGTCTCTGGCTTTTCCTTTTCCAGATGCCTCTTCTGAGGGCCCTGAGGAGGACAGGAGGATTGTTAGTCACAGGAGTCTGTCCAGGGATACCGTCCAATGACTGCCCTGCTGACCCTAAAAGCCCTCCTGTGGGTAAGGCAGGGAGATGCCCTGCCAGCTCCTTCTGCACCAGTTTCCCTGGCCCAGAGGAGGAGAAATATGGAGTCTGAGCCCCCAGAGAACATGAGGGCTGAGCTCACCATGAAGGCCCTCTTCTCCTGGGCTGTCTGAAAGCGGCCATGGCCAAACTTAGAGGTGGTATCAATGAACTTGAGCTCAATATTCTCCAGGGCCCTGCGGCTGTGATGCACSAGGAGGGACTGGAAATGGGTGGGAGAGGAGGTGTCAAGGCCAGAGGGTTCCCATCCCCGCCCTTCACCTTAAATGCACACCAGGAAGGTCTTGCTCACCCCACTCCTGTCAGACCCCCGCTTTCAGCTCCCACCCCCCTACCCCACTTTGAGCAGGCTGGAGGATGGAACAGGCTAGCTGGGACAGCCCATGGGGGACAGGACCGCCTGTCCACATGCTGTGCTGACCTTCCTCAGCGTGATGACCCGCTTCTTGGTACCAGCAATGCAACCCTTCAGCATGACAAAGTCGTTGTTGACTTCCCCATAGTGGGGGAAACCACCCTGTGGGGGAGGCAAGTCAGAGGCCAGGCTAGTGAAGGGTGCTGTATTAGGAGGTGGGTGTGGCTGGAAGTCCTGGAATTCCTACACCCAGGCGAGGGGGTGACATCCTCATCCTAGATCACTAATCAGGGCAGCATCTGAGGCACATGCTAAGTTGTTTTGTGTCTTAGCTCATTTAGTGGTCTGCATTTTTGTGGGGAGAACTGAAGCTCAGAAGGTTGGAKTCTCTTGCTGCAGGCTCTAGCTGCAGCCCCTTGGGCTGGGCTGGGCTCGGCTTCAGTCCACAGCAGCACTGMTGCACTTCGTCCCTGTGAAGCAGCCCGAGTGCAAGCTCTTCAGAGGAGGCTTGGAGAATGAAGGAGACTGCAGGGATGGGGGCCACCAAATGGCTGCTCCCTAGTCCACTGGGCCCACATTACTGCCCACCTGGCAGGGCCATGTGCCCCCATCTGCCCGTGGGAACAGCATCCCACTGTGGGGCACAAACCTGAGCTCCTGACTGCCCCCTACATGCTCCTTGGCCAGCCTGGCCTCCCACCTCACCAGGGGTGTGATGGACTTGTCAGTCACATCGTAGCTGGTGGATGCATTGTTCTTGACCAGCTTTCCATCTTCCATGTGCAGCCCTCTGCCAATAWGGTAGATCTGCCAGGAGAAGAGGGCAAGAGGCAGGCTCTGGAACCAGGGGCATGTCCACATCCTCAGCACACGTGCTCAGACCCAGATGGGGATTTAACCATGCAGGCAGTGTCTGGGTCACGCACTCACCCACTGAGGTCTCCCAAAGCCATGGACATACCTTCTTGTTGAGCTCAGTGCGGTGGTGGTAGCCCTTCTGCCCAGCCCGTGCAATGGAGCAGCCCACGCGGGCAGGGTGCCAGGCACCAATGCAGGCCACCTTGCGTAGCCCCTTGTGGGTCTTCCGAGGCAGTTTCTTGGTATGCCAGCGGCTTGTGACCCCTGCAGATAGGAAGGGCTGGTGGCTGAGAAGCCAGTATGGTCCCTACCACGCAGCCTTTCCTGGAGACAACATCCCCTTTTGGCCCTACCTTTGACACCCCGGCCTTTGGTGACAGCAATGACATCGATGATCTCACTCTGGCTGAAAACACTGTGCACTGGCACCTGCTTCTCCAGCCGAGCCTGTGCCCAGGCCACTTTTTCAGCCACCGTGCCGCCGTTCAGCTGGATCTCCATGATATGGGCCTTCTTCTGCCGGAAGGGCAGCAGCTTCATCTGCAGGCATGGTGCAGCCTTCAGTTCCCAGAAAGGCACACTCCCTACCCACCTGCAGACAAGGCATGGCCAGCCAGGGACCCTAGGTCTTTCTGTGCCCGGCTATATGTTATATGCTGTACACTGTGGGGACAGCATGGAATGAGGCCGAGTCCCACACCCAGGGAGCCACCATCTAGTTGGGAGACAGATAAGCCAAGTCAACTATTGGAGAAGGATAGGTGCTCGGATGGACTGACATACTTCAGGAGGAGTTGTCAGGGAGGGCCTCTCTGTGGAGATCATATCAATAATCTTTCCATTAGGCAAAGATCTTAAAGTTTCTGGGGCAGAGAAAATATCATGTGCAAAGGCCCTATGGCAGGAACAAGAGTTGGTGGGACAGAAAGAAGGACGTGGCCAGAAGGTGGTAAACAGGGAGGGTAGCAGGTCCACACAAGTTGAATAGGAAGGAACTCAGCCTTTCTTCCAAGTGATGCAATCAGTCAGCAGCATCKGCTGATGCTTTGTGAGCCAGAGACTATGGGGACACACAGACCAGTTAAATCACAACATAGTGTTCAACAAATATTTGTAAAGCACCTACTGCATATGAGGCTCTGTGTGGGCCCTGGGGCCTGACAATGAATAAGGCAGGTGAGGCTCCTGCCCCATGGCCTCTGCCCAAAAGAGCTCAGGTCTGTTGATGGAGATGGGCATTAACCAACAACTCACCCATGAACTGCGGGTGTGAGAGTACCTGGGGAGAGCGTGTATTCAGTGGGCTGTGGGAGGCTCTGGAGTGGAAGGGCAACCTTTATCAGGCCTAGAAGAAACTTCCTTGAAGATAAAACACCAAGAACTATTCCAGAACAAGCCAGAGGGTGCTGGTTACCTGTCAGCCACCAAGCCAGAGCCCAGGGAAGAGCACTAATCACACACGAAGTACTAGAACCCAGAGGAGGCAGCCTGCCCTCCTAATTGGACATTTGGTGGAACACTCAGGCCCTTCAGAGAACTTTGGGGCATGGCCAATGCCCCCACAGCCCCTGGGAGGGCACTGACAGTCAGTGCCCTAGCCCTGGCTGCAGGTGTCCAGCCAGGAAGTTGGGCAGCCCTTGGCCTTGTGCCTGAGACTCTGGGTATTTTTAGGCTGACATTTGTCACAGCTCCTCAAAGCTGGAGGGGAGGGGGGCCAGGGGTGAGCTTTGCTGGGTGGGGTGGGGCTGACCTGGGAGTGGACAATGACCCGAATGACTCTGCAGTACTTCTTCATGGCGGCAAAGTCCTTCTGGAGCTGTTTCTTGCCGTCAGTATCCCGCCATCTCTTGCAGGCCTTGGTGAAGGCTTTCTTCTTGCTTTTGTGCCTGAGCCACATACAGGAGGTGCTCAGAGGCTCCAGCCAGGGTGGCCCCCAGCAGTCCTGCCCCTACCCCACCTGCAGCTCCCCAAGTAGGAAATCTCTTCCCTGAAGCTCCTGCACTGGGTCCAGTTGGTCCGAATTTAACACAGGCTGTCACCCCCGGCCTAGCTTTCCTCCTCTCCCTGTAAAGCGGGGTAACTCCCCCTCCCTGTGGTCCAGGCACCTGGATGCCACCCCAGCTGCCCCACTTCTGTGCTGCTGATCCCACTTCCAAATCAGGCACCATACCCCAGCCCTGGGCAGACATCACTTCTAACCCTCAGCAGAACTCTGGAAGGTGGAAATTATCATCCCTATTCTATAGAGGAAGAACCTGGGATTCACAGGAGTTAAAACTCTCAGATTAGGGCAAATTTTTACTGGAAACAGTAAAAACAGGACAAATAGCACTTTCTGGCCACTTGCTCTGTGCTAAGCACTGGGCACATTTCACTAGCCCTGAACTCACAGCCACCCCATCAACACAGGGACCACCCAGCCCCATCTTACAGCAGAGGAACTCAGAGGTAAGCCTCTCTGGTCCCACAGCCTGCACTGACCCTGGGGCCCAAGCTCATCATCTCCCACAGAGCCTCAGGGCTGGCCGGTGCCTGTGTCTCTAAGTTCTGGTGCACAGGACTTAGTGCATGGAAGATCTGAGGCCTGAGAGTACCTTTTTATGCACAGGAGCTTCTGGGTTGGCTGTATCCCTTTTCACCTTGGCTGCTCCGAAGCTCAGAGCAACTCTGATATTCCATCAAGTTAGCCCTGTAATTAACCCTGGGTATTATAATATTTGCTTCCTTGTTTTCCTCAATCCTGATTTCCTCTCCAGACCTTTAAAACATACTCATCCCTTACTGAAGTGAAGCACCTGCAGTTTCCTACCTTCTATTCGAAGTTGACACCTCTCCTCTTAGCCACCCACCCTCACTGTTCCAGCACAGAGCTGGTTGTGGCCCTCACCAGTCCTTGTAGAAGCGGCGGCGGCACTCATCACTGAGGTGTTCTGCAAATATGGTCTTGAAGCTCCGCAGGCCTCGAGGGGTGGCCACGTAGCCTACCACGCCCACCACAACCAGGGGTGGTGTCTCCACAATCGTCACTGCCTCCACTTCCTCCCGTTTGGAAATTTCTAGATGAGACCCAGGGACAGGATGATGAAGGAGACTTCCTGAGGCCCATGGGGAAGGGAGCAGAAGAGATGGCCACACAGGGTGGGCCAGGACAGCATGTAGCCAGTGGTTAGGGCAGCTTTCCTGCAAGGTGGGGTTGGGCCTTCTTATTTTTAATAATTTAAGTGTATTTTTATAAGTTCCAGCAAGACCTAGAAAAGTCCATGATCGAACAGATACCACTGTCTAGGCTGCCGTGCAAAAAAAAAAAAAAATACATTTTAAGAATATTTTAAAGGAAAGAAGGAATGGAGGGAGTGAGGAAGAGACCTGTGGTGGTGGGGGGGAACATGCATTGGTACTTGATGCCACCTAAAAAGATTAAGGTACTAAGTTTTGTATTATGCATACTTTGCCACAATAACAAATAAAAGAGGGCCAGGTGTGATAGCACACACGCCTGAAACCCCAGCAGCTCAGGAGGCTGGGGCAAGAGGATTACAAGTTCAAGGCCAGCCTCAGCTAAGAATTTAGTGAGATTCTGTGTAAAATTTTTAAAAGATTAAAAAGAGCTGAGGACTTATCTCAGTGGTAAGTTGCCCTGGGTCCAATACCTAGTACAGAAATAAATAAATACAAAATTAATAAGAAGGTGGGGGATGGAAAACAGATGGGTGTTATCAGGAAGGGGCAGGAGGAATATAACTGCACAGGCCACCCAAGGATCCCTCAGGGGAGGATTAAGTGGTGRGTGCCCAAATTTACCCAGGGGACAAAAGTGCATACTGTGTACCTRTTTGAGTGTGCTAGCACATGCAGAACCAGAGAAACCTAGTTTGTGGGTGATCACGTCCATGTCAGTATGGTTACTTCTTACCACTGCCTGTGAATCTACAATTATCTCAAAGCAAAACAAAGAACAGTCAGTCGGGCGCTGTGGTGCACGCCTGTAATCCTGGCACCTGGGGAGGCTGAGGCAGGAGGATCCTGAGTTCAAACCCAGCTGAAGCAACTCAGTGAGGCCTTAAGCGATTTAGTGAGACTCTGTCTCAAAATAAGATATAAAAAGGGCTAGGAGGTGGGGTTGTGGCTCAGTGGTAGAGCGCTCATCTAGCATGTGGGAGGTCCTGGGTTCAATCCTCAGCACCACATAAAAATAAATAAACAAAATAAATGTATTGTGTACAAATAAAAAATATTTTTTAAAAAAGGGGGGCTAGAGTTGTGGCTCAGGAGTGAAGTGCCCCAAAGTTCAATTCCCAGTACAAAAAGGAAAAAACAAAAAAGAACAAAGTATACATATACACAACTATATGAATATACTAAATAACAGTTGATAATATGGTCCACACATGGCCAAAAAAGTACAGATGTCCTGGCATGGCCTTGAGTCCCAGTTCCTTCACCTCAAGAAGACTAATTGGACCAGCTTCTTTCTTTCTTTCTTTTTGTGGTGGTGGTGGTTGGGGGGGGGGTACTGGGGATTGAACTCAGGAGCATTTAGCCACTGAGTTACATCCCCAGCCCAGGCTGGCCTGGAGCTTGTGCTCTTCCTGCCTCTGCCTCCCAGGTCTCTGGGACTACAGCCTACGCCACTGTGCTGGGCTGGACCGGGTTCCAGCGGCTCAGTGCTTCAGTGCACTCACTGTAACTGGAGGCAATGGCAGCACCCACCTGAGCACTGCCCGTGGCCAGGGCCTGATGAGGGGCAGCGTGAGCCCATCACAGTCCTGACCCTGCCTCCCTTCAGCAGGGCCTCATCTTTTCTGAGACTGTAGCCGCTCCTGGGATGTAGGAGCAACCCCTGGCTCCCAGCCTCTGAAGGTTCCCCCCGACCCCCACCCCCACGCATCCCCTGAAGTGACTCACTGAGGCCTGGCCGGTGCACCTCACGCAGGGTGTGGGTCATGCCCGCCTTGTAGCCCAGGAAGGCAGTGAGGTGCACAGGCTGACTGGGGTCATCCCTTGGCCACGTCTTCACCCTGCCCCGGTGCCGCCGGCTCCTCTTATGGGGCAGGAAGCCCAGGTGTCCATGCCGAGGGGCAGAGAACTTCCGGTGGGACTAGGGGCAGCAGAGTGAAGGGTGGAGATTGAGGGATGGGGCCTCCACACCCTCATCTGCCCGCCCTGGTGGGCTCAGCCTGTTGGGATCCAGGAGGGCTGGGCAGCACTGAGGCAGAGTGCTCTGGGCACAGGAGGCTACTGCCATCTCCCATCTCTTGCCCCTTCTAGGCCCAGGAGCCCAGCCTTGGCCCCTTGCTGCCTTCTCAACTGCCCATCATTACAGCCCAGAGAACTCTCCAAGCTTGGGGGAGATCTGGGGGACGCCCACCTGCCCCCCCTCCCCAGGAATGCCTGCTTATTCTTTGTTCAGGCTCCAGCCCCAGCCCACTGACCATGGTGGCCGATTCCAGAAGGCCAGGATGGGGCGTCCCCACCAGGCGCCAGAGGTCGAGTGGCAAGGCCAGGACACGTAGCAACCAGATCCCAGATTTAGCCCCTGGCACCAGCTCAGTCTTCCTCTGTGGCCAGCAGGGTCTCTTGTGCCAGGAGCAGACTGGGGCGGAGCATCAGACAGGCAGCCTGTGATGGGGATACCTGGAGCCAGGGCTGGCACCCCATTCTTCCATGTCCTGGCACTGAGTCATGACGCTCCCAGGACAAGACCAACTTGGCTTGACAGGAACAACGTACCCTAGTTGGGAGCTCCTCTAAGAAGAGCCTAGATTGTTGACAGTTTTTAGGTTTCCTGTCCTGAAGGCTATTAAGACTGAGCTGGACATAGGGGTGCGAGAGGTGGACAGGGAGGGTTGACCACATGCCCATCAAGATAGAGATTCCTTACCAGCTATCTGGGCATCCCTTAAACCAATCAAAAATGACACATAAAGTTAATCATGTAAACTAAGGCTGAGTACCACTTCCTTAGAGCTGAATGGAAAATCCCTAATTCCTTGTGCATAAGAAGTATTTAATATTTAAGTATTTAAATACTTTTCTGCCACTTCCTTTCTCCTCTTTTACACCATCTGAATCTTTTTCTTTTTAATATTTATTTTTCAATTTTTGGCGGACACAACATCTTCGTTTATATGTGGTGCTGAGGATTGAACCCTGGCCGTACGCATGCCAGGCTACCGCTTGAGCCACATCCCCAGCCCCCATCTGAATCTTTTTGTTCCTGGACAAATATCTATTGTCCCTTTCACCTTGAATAGAATGATTCCACATGAATGTTCCCAAGAGCTTACAGACTTTAACATTATATTAAATAACATGGGGGGAAAATACAGTTTTAGTCCTTATTCTCCAACTAATTAGTTTATTTCRTAAGTTCTATTCATTTTTTCATTATTTTAATGAGCAGTTTAGCTTTTATTTGTAGAACTGTGATTGATCCAAACAGCCAAAAACAGCATAGTAATTATTTACCAATTTTTATTAAAATTTCAAACAAGTAATATTATATGTATTTTTAAATAAAAAAATTTAAAAAAAGATATCGATTCCTGCTGGGTGTGATGGTGCACACCTGTGATCCTAGGGAGGCTGAGGCAGGAGGATCATAAATTAGAGGCCAGCCTGGGTAAAATATGGAAAGGGCTGGGACATAGTTCAGTGGTAGAGCACCTTGGGTACTGGGAAAAAAGAAAGTTTTGAATGAAAAGAGGTTGATATTTAAATAATTTCTTTTTTGAGGAGGTATTTTTTTTTCCTTTTTGAGACAGGGTTCCACTATGCTGTCAAGTGATCCTCCAGCCTAACTCCTAAGTAGTTGGGACTACAGGTGTGCCATTGCACCTGGCTACCTTATTTTCCAATTTCAAGATTCTATGGTTATAAAGTTCTTCTGGGAATTGAACCCAGGGGTACCTTATCCCTGAGCTATATCCCCAATTTTTTCTACTATTTATTATGAGATAGCATCTCACTAAATTGATGAGATTGGCCTAGAACTTGTGATCCCCCTGCCTCAATCTCCCAAATTGCTGGGATTTCAGGTATGCACACCACCATGCCTGGCTATGGTTATAAAGTTCTTTACTCAAAGTTCTCTAGGTGTAAGATGTCCCTAAGAGAATGTGAATTTTGCATCACTAGATGCCAAAATTCTAGCATGCTACCAAAATACAGTCTTTGGGTTGGAATGTCTGTGTTTCTAAGAGTTCATAATCTGAAGATTTAACATTTCCAATTCTAGATTCTGTGGGTCCCTAGCTGCTGGCTCCATGTCCCTGGCCCCTGCCTCTGGACAGGAAATGACTAGCAACATGCCTGGATAGCCAGCCAGGTGTGCACATTACATATAAGGCCATGGTGGCTCTGGTCAGTGGCTGCCATGGGGCACTACAGTGCTCAGAGCTGAGATGGAACCAGCTGCCATAGGCCAGAGCGCCCTGTGCCCATGATGGGAGCCCCAATCTCTATGGGTTGGGCTGGGGGACAACTCATTCCTCCTGCTCTGCCCCAGGGAGGTCCCCAAACTCACTGTCACCAGTCCATTCTTGAGGGACAAAGACAGCAGAGCCCAGGGACTGGGCAATCCAGAAAAGATTCCTGGAGGATCAAGACTTTTTATACTCTTTGTCGATTTCTTGACTTATTGTGTGTGTTCTACCAGTCAATGTTCTCCATAAAAGCCAGGTCGTGTTCACCTCGTTTAGCACCAAGTCTAGCCTGCAGTAGGTTCGGGAGGAATCATTTCTTCAAAGAAATGATCTGTTGCTCTCTGCTTGCCTCGGGTGCGATGGTTCCAGACCCCACGTGGGGGCGCCCGCGGCCAACCACAGCATGTGGTGCTCGCCCCGCGCAGGCGCAGTGGTCGCCCTGCGCGCAGGCGCAGCATCGTTCCACGGCGCCCCGCGCAGGCGTAGTTGCCCCGACGACCTCCGCAGGGTTATCCGTACCCGGCACCCAGCTAGCGGAGTCCTGTGCGCCATGCCCGACACCTGGGACAAGGACGTGTATCCCGACCCCCCGCGCCGCACGCCGGCGCCTTCCCCGCAAACCTCGTTGCCCAACCCCATCACCTACTTCACGAAGGCCTTCGACCTCCTGGTGGACCGGCCCGTGACCCTCGTGAGAGGTACGAGCTCGGGGTTCTGCCTGCTCGCGGGGACCCCGGTGCCCCACACCCGAGGTCCCCGAGCTCCGCCGCCTCCTTTGGCTTTCCCACTGCTTCGCGGACCATTCCCCGGGACCTCCCCCGCCCCCGCCTCCCGGGTCGCTCCACCTTTCCCCAGGACGCCAATCCTTTGGCTGCGCCCTGTGCCTTCTATACCAGGACCCCTCTTTGCTCTCCGCCTCCGCCGCTTGAGAGGCTCCCTTAGTCTCTGGTCTCCGTCATAAACCGGGGTGTGTGTGTGKGGGGGGTGCTTGCTCTCGCAATCAACTGAGTCCTTGGGCCTGTTATGTCCCGGGCCCCTGCAATGCAAGTGACAACTGGTTGTAGTGTGATGGCTGAAATGCCCAAATTCGCCATCTCTGGTCCTAATTAGAAAATGTTCCATGCAACTTTTTGTGGTCCTATTTGCCAGCCTTCTGGTCAGCAGCAAGCGCTTGCTCTGCCTTGTTACAATTAAGCAGCTCATTCGTTCAACCTTAAGACATTTGAGGTACATAGCATACTCAAGTGGGTTTTTTTTTTTTTTTTCCTATATTACGGTCTTCCAAGTTCTGGGGATTACTGGTTTGGGGGTTATGTTTATTTGGCACTGGGGATTTAACCCAGGGGCATTTTGCCACTGAGCCACATTCCCAGCCCCTGTTTTGAGACAGAGTCTTGCTAACTTGCATGGGGCCTCGCTGAGTTGATGAGGCTGGTGATCCTACTGCCTCTGCCTCCCAAGTCCCTGGGATTACAGGTGTGCACCACCACTCCCAGCAGGTTATTTATTTATTTAATTTTAAATTATATATATATACATATTTTTTTAGTTGTAGTTGGACAACTACAATTTTTATGTGGTGTTGAGGATCGAACCCAGGGCCTTGCACGTGCTAGGCAAGTGCTCTAGGCTGAGCCACAACCCCAGCCCCAGGTTATTTGTTTTTAAGGCAAAGAGGTCTTGCTATGTTGCCCAGCCTGGCCCTGAAGTCCAGGACCCAAGCAATCCTCCTGTCTCAGCCTACCAAGTCACTGGGTCTGGTATTCTTTGTTTAGGGAGTATAGTATAGCAGATGAGTCAGGTCCCTCTTTTTTTCTGTCGTCTTAGAAGTGGTTTGTTTTGGGGATTCAAGGACTGAATCCAGGGGCCCTTAACCACTGAGCTGCATTCTCAGCCCTTTCTTTTGAGACAAGGGTTCACTAAGCACCTGGTGTTTTTTATTCTTGGATGCATGAACTCTTTAGTCCCGCTGGTTAAAGCTACCAGTGGAAACTTTAGGCCTGGAGGTCATTGCAGGAGTTCTGTTGGTGCCTTCTTGCCTAGAGTGGGGTTCCTGGGCTGTGGGAGAGGTGGACTTGTAGAACTGGGTTCTGAATCCTGCCTTGCTCAGTCTCATTGGTGAAGACAAAGGGTTGTTCTGGTCACAAACTGTGATGATGCAACCAGAGATATCACCACTTATAGCCTCTAACATTTAGGAAATACCTCCACCCATCTATCTAAACTGACAAGTAAATTATCTGGTTTCCTTTCTAGAGTTTATAGAGCAGCAGCATGCCAAGAACAGGTATTATTACTACCACCGGCAATTCCGCCGAGTGCCAGACATCACAGAGTGCAAGGAGAAGGATATCCTGTGCATTTTTGAGGCAGAAATGCAATGGAGAAGGGACTAGTAAGTGTATAGCAGGGAATGTTGAGAAAGTACAAGAGACCACTTCCTACTTCCCATTATTTCCTGGGGATTCCTTGGGATGGCCTCATCCAGTGGGTATATCTCTTGGGGGTTGGCTCAGATTTTGAAGACAAGGCTTTCACTCAATCCTTTGGGTACTTGCTCCTTTTTAGCAAAGTTGATCAAGAAATTGTCAACATCATCCAGGAGAGGCTTAAGGCCTGTCAGCAGAGGGAAGGAGAGAGCTACAAGCAGAACTGTGCCATGGAACTGGAACAGTTTGCCCAGGTGGCCAAGGCCTACCAGGACCGCTGTAAGTTGAGCCCTGCCCACCCTTTTTTGCTTGTTTTTTCTTACCCAACTTATTAGCCAATCCATCCACCATCTCCTTCTCAGATCATGACCTGGGAGCCCATTATTCTGCCAGAAAGTGCCTGGCAAAGCAGAAGCAGAGAATGTTGGCAGAGAGAAAAGCTGCTAAGGAGGCTGCTGCTGCCTGAGGCCTCTTAACTAACCTGCTGCATTGCTGAAATAAAGTGATTTAACTCTACTTCTGGTGGTATCATTAGCCCCTTCGAAATTCCAGCTACCAGTTTATATGGAAGACAGAATCATTTACTAATGGGTTTCATTTACTTTATTATTTTTGTAAAAACCCTATGTTGTAGCCACAGCTGGAGCCTGGGTCCTCTGTACAGAGACTCTGGTATGGGTTTTCACAAGATGGTCAGTGAATTCCTACAAAGAAAAATCAACAGTTATGTAGTGGGAACACCATTCCCCTACAAAATTAAGGTGTTTCTGCCCCCCCCTCAAAAAAAAAACCTGTTGATAGTAAAATCTCACTAGCTAGACCAGAAATACCTGATAAGGAGACTTGGTGAACACAGTCTCTTTCCAGAGATCAGGGGTCAAATAGCTGTATGTCTTGGAGATGGCATCAAAGGTGGCCTTGGCTTCAAAAAAAAAAACAACAGAAGAGAGTTAGTGGCTAATAGCAGAGAAGCCCTCCACCCCTACAGAAGCTGTTGCACTCCTAGGAACAGAGAGGCCACTTAGGGGCAGATCTGCCGTGCATTAGGAGGGCCTTCCTCTCTCTCCCTTAAAATACGCCAAGCACACACTGCACCTGTGTGATTCAGCGGAGCTGAGAGGGTTCACTGGCGATTCCTTCAGGGGCCACCTACCAAAATTGCCCAAGGTGGCAGTGCAGCCCCTGGCAGAAGTGTAGCAATCATCAATACCAGCCATCATCAGTAGCTTCTTGGGTACAGGAGCTGAGACGATGCCAGTACCTCTGGGGGCAGGGATGAGCCGTACCAGCACAGAACCACAACGTCCTGTCACCTAAGAAAAGCAGAATCACATAACAGGACCAGAGGGAAAATATGCTCCACCCCAGGCCCATCAATAACCATCACAACTTACCTTGCAAGGGACAGTGTGAGGCTTGCCAATCTTGTTCCCCCAATAGCCTCTCCGCACAGGAACAATGGAGAGCTTGGCCAGGATGATGGCCCCTCGGATAGCAGTTGCTACCTCCTTGGAGCATTTTACTCCCAGTCCAACGTGACCGTTGTAGTCCCCAATAGCCACAAATGCCTGGGAAAAAAATTATGTTAGGCGGCTGGTGATCCTCCACAACATCCATACACACTACCTAGTTCCTGTTGTGCCTCTCAAGGAAGAAAAGGCTACTGTGAGGCCAATCCAAGGTCCAGAGGGGCTCTTTCCTCTCTCTCCCCTGTACGAAAGTCACACGGGCAAAACTTAGTGTGACCATGCAGAGTGGGGAGAGTTTTGCCCAACTAGCCRAGTGCATGACAACCCTAATACCTTGAATCTGGTCCGCTGGCCAGCACGAGTCTGTTTCTGTACAGGCATGATCTTCAAAACCTCATCCTTGAGTGATGCCCCCAAGAAAAAGTCAATGATCTCAGACTCCTACAACAAAAGAACCAGTGTGCAAAAGTTGAGTGTTTAGCCCTTGATTCACCTAGATTCCAGGTCCGAGATGGCACTCTTTTCTATAAAAGCGAAGCCACCTCACCTCTGGCGATAACCCATGTCAAAGGTGGACACCCACACAAGCGCAACCACAGGCTCAAAGTGCAACTCTCCCAGCCCCTACCAAATTAAGCTCCGGAAGGCTGGTAGTTCAGCGCAATACCTTGATGGGCAAAGAGAAGAGATAGATCTCCTCCAGGGACTTGATCTTCATGTCCTTGACCAGGCGGCCCAGCTTGGTGACCGGGATCCACTGCGGGGAAGGTGCCAGTCAACACGGATACCTTCTCGGCGCCGTCCCCAAACGCGCCCCGCCCGGCGCCCGGGCCTACCTCCTTGTCTTCGGCCTTGCCTCCACGAGCCCCGCGGCCACGGCCCCGGCCCCGTCCACGGCCTCGGCCGCGGCCTCGGAGACCGCTGCCGAAGCCTCCGCGGAAGCCGCCCCGGCCACCCATTCCGGGGCCCCCGGGACCTCCGGGACCTCCCGCTGCACCGGCGTCATCCGCCATTTGCTGCACCGAGAAACAAGAACCAGCCAATTAGCGGGGAGCTGCCTCTGTAGCGACGTGGGAAATCCAGACACGGTGCATCGCGTCTGAAGATGCGATCGTGCGGGCTGKCCCCGGCCATCCGATGTCCGCGGATCGCCACAGCACGCGCCCCGTCCCGCCATAGCTAATAAGACTACTCACGTGTTTTTCCAGAGAAGAAGAAAGAATCCGTCTCGGAAGGAACTTTTATAGCAGGCCAAAAAACCGCGAGATCTCGGGAGCCTCGCCCCGAGTGGCCCTAGCACCGCGAGGCGGCTACGATTGGCTCCGCGGCGCCCCGCCCTCGCCGCACTCTGCCTGCGCCTGCGCATCGGCTCTTGCCACGGCCGGGCCTGCGCGGCGGGCGACTGGGCGGACCCGTATAAACGCACGCGCCTCAGTCCCGCGGCCTTTCGCGGATGCTGGGGCCGCGTGCTTTCCTTCGCTTTGGTAGGTCCGATTTGCTAGCCTGTCCGCAGGTAGTCGGGAGACCGGCGTTGGTTGAAAATCACCCTCGGCGCTGGCGGTGGCCGTGGGTGAGATTCGGCGCCCAGAGCCTCCAGGGGCCTCAGCTCGCCCCCCACTACCAGTGTGGGAAGGCGAAACCCAGGCCCCGACATCCCCGCTGCGGCTACTCGCGCGGTTATATCCCTGGCCAATCATCCCTGACCCCATCTTCTCTCTCCACAGGACAGGATTTCCCGGAGAACTTGAGGCCGACGCCGCCAGGACCTTGGGGGGTCGTGGCAGAGATCGGTGGTCCCAGCGTTTCAAATAAAGCTATTTAACTCGGGATGTGTGGACGTTCTTGGGGTCTCCTACCTGCCGGAAAATCGAGCCCTAGTAGTGCGTTTCTTCCCGGGCTAGCCAAACTGCTTTCGGATACCACAAATGTAGGGCTTAGGCACGTGTCTTAAGTGTCAGCCAGATTGGGACCCTGGTCTGTCTGCCTGTGTAGTGGAGTGAATTTATCAATCCTTAACAGTGGTGCTCAACCTACATGAGCATGTATCTCTAGGTCTTTTCTCAGGTCTGCACAGATGATAAACACTGGAAGGGAACTAGCTGGTTGCCGGTGATTTAGTTCTCTCTGCTATGGAGAACCAATTGATCAACATCTGAAGACCCTACGCTTTTGGAGTTCTCAGTGCCTGGGCAGCACCATCTGAGAAAGGTGCAGCTGTCCCTGTGATCCTACTGACCTTGGGGAAACAACTCTTAAGAGTCTAGGTTCTCTGTGCAAACCTGCTCTGGTACCAGATGTCAGCCTTGACCAACATAGAGGGTCAGTGTCCACACCTGAGTTTTTATATATATATGTTGTAGATGGACACAGTACCTTTATCTTTTTTTTTTTTTTTTTTTTGAGGAGTTACCAATTTTTTTTATTGGTTGTTCACAACATTACAAAGCTCTTGACATATCATCTTTCATACATTAGATTAAAGTGGGTTATGAACTCCCAATTTTTACCCCAGTACCTTTATCTTACTTATTCATAATATGGTGCTGAGACTCAAACGCAGTGCCTCACATGCTAGGCAAGAGCTCTACCACTGAGCCACAGCCTCGGCTCTAGACCAGAGTTTTGATTGGCCTGAGCTGAACAATGCCACTGTGATGTCGGCCCACACCTGCTGTGAAATGGAGGCTCCCAAGCCCCAGGCATCAGTGGAGCTGCCGTCCAGATACAGATCATGGTAAGCCTAAGGCCCTCATTTTTCCAGCCCTAAGATTTATGCTAAGCTATAAGGGATTGACCCGATTCCTCAATCAGAAATGCTTGGCAGTGGGTTACAGCCCCTACAGGGAATGAGGAAACCTCTGGGTCAAACTTAGAGCCATCTCTGCTAGGGATTGGTGGTCCTGGGGAAACCTTGACCCTCATGGCTGTCTTCCACATGAAGAGAGTTCTCATGTGGCCTACCTCCCCACCCAAACACTTGGGTATGTGGAGTGGGGGGCAGAACCTGGTGCCTGCCAGGCTCTGATACTGGTTTGACCTTTGCAGAGTGGCGGGTATGATCTCAACCTCTTTGCCAGCCCTCCCGACTGCAACTTCCTGTGCTCCGTCTGCCATGGGGTTCTCAAGAGGCCAGTAAGGTTGCCATGTAGCCACATCTTCTGCAAAAAGTGCATCCTCCGGTGGCTAGCCAGGTGCCACTGGGAACCCAAGGGACTGGGAGGGCAGGTGTGAAGCCACTCCTGTGGTCCAGAGCCCAAACTTTCCTAAGTCTGCTGAACACTGGGTTCCAATAGCCACAAGATGCTAAAATGTGTGGGTCTCCTAACCCTGTGGTGTTAACAGGTCCCAGCCTTGGGGACCCCCTTATACCTCCTCCAGCTAGAGAGACCATTTGGGTCACCCCTTGAAGATCTGTCCCTACGATCATGTCACTCTGCTTCCTTCTCACCTCACACACACACTTGCCTCCTTCCAGACAAAATACCTGTCCATGCTGCAGGAAAGAGGTGAAAAGGAAAAAGATGGTCCATGTGAATAAACTCCGGAAAACCATTGGCCGCCTAGAAGTCAAGGTAGCTCAAAGTACCCACTCCCATCACCCTTGGGTGGGGCAAAGCCAGGGCCAAGCATGCCATCTTCAAAGAAAACCAAGTGCAGCCCAGGCATCAGCAGACCTGGCTAAGTTTGAGTCATATACTACTTACCTGTGTGACCTTGGGCAATTTACTTAACTTTTCTGAGCTCTTGGGGCCTCAACTATAAAATGGGGATTCTAGAGAATTTTCAGTGAAGTGCCAGGTGTATGGGCTTTAGTCTCCAACCCCTGATTTTACAGATGAGGAAACCAAGGTTTAAAAAAAAAAAAATGCCCCGGGCTGGGAATGTAGCTCAGTATTAGAGTGCTTCCTCAGCATATGCAAAGCCTGGGTTCAAACCCCAGCACCACTACCATCCACACAAAACAAAAAGTGTGGCAAACATACCAGACTAACCCAGCTATACACCTCCCTGTTCAAGACTTGGGCCTATGGCCCTCCTCTAAGCACAGAAGTTCTTCCCACCTACCCATCTGTTCTGGAAGCAGAAAAGCTTGGGAGGTTCCTAGTCTCCTGGTTCTTGGTCAATGGTCAGATACCGAATGGGAGGAGAGGGTGGGGGCCAGGGAAGAGCCAGCTGGCAAATTCCCAGCCTGGCTTGGTCTGGCAGGGCCCAGCTAGGTTCGCTCACATGGAGGTCTTTCACACCCGCAGTGCAAGAACGCTGAGGCTGGCTGTTTGGTGACATGCCCCCTGGCCCATCGCAAGGGGCATCAGGACTCATGCCCCTTTGAGCTGATGGCCTGCCCCAACGAGGGCTGCTCTGCGCGAGTGCCACGTGGGGACCTGGCTGAGCACCAGCAGCACTGCCAGCAAGGTGGTGAGCAGCTTTGCCTCTTGGGCTGCGGGGCCACCCTGGGCCCAGCTGAACGTGCACGCCACAACTGCTACCGAGAACTACGCGAGGCCTGGAGCCAGCGCCAGGAGCGCAGCCGGACTCTGCTGCTAAGTCTGCTGCGGCGTGTGCGCCGGGTGCACCGCACCACCAACCTCATCCGCCGGCAACTGGCCCAGCTAGGCAACTTCCTGGAGGAGGATGACGCCCTGCTCCTGGGCACTGTGCAGGAGACGGAGGCCACCCCAGTGGGCACTACTGACGCTGAGGTGTGGGGGTCACAGGGCCAGCGTGCCTTGTAAATACAAGGGCAAATAAATGCTGAGCCCAGACCGGGCCTATCTCACCGCCTCTGTGCCTGCTAGCCTCATACCCTGTGCCCATTCCCCAGGCCCCCTTGCTCTTCATTTGCCTATTTCTTTTCTCTCAATGTCTTTTCTCCGAATCTCAACTCCAGTTGCTTCCTATCAATTTGTTTTACCAGTTTTGTAGCCTGTAGCATGAATGGCTCAAAATCGTTAACAGTAAAAGCCAGTTCCTCAGTAGCTCAGGAGGACCTGCACCCTCTCTGCATTCCTGTCCTTTAAGAATATCCTCTGGGGTTGGAGATATAATATAGCTCAGTGAACTAGCGCCGGTAGGCCCTGGATTCAATCCCTAGCACCACAGTCTCCTGTGCAATGGCTCCCTTAGCCACACTGACCTCTGCACCCCTAAGCAGTGGCTGTCCCTCTGCCCGAAACACGATCTCCAAAAAAACTGCTTTACTTCAATTGCTCTGGTGCCCCCTTCTCAATGAAGCCTTCTGCACTGCCCCCATTTAAAACTGCACTTCTGCCCTCTGCCTAATCCCTTGCTAACCTACATTTGCAAAACCTTAGCCTTTGGTGGAGTTCTTTTTTTTTTTTTTTTTTTGTCTTTTTTGGAACTGGGGGTCGAACCCAGGGCTTTGCGAATGCAAGGCAGACGCTTTGCCACTGAGCTACATCCCAGCCCAAAACCTTAGCCTTTAAACTGGTGTAATTATCCCCTTCTTCCCAGACCAGCCCTTGCCCCCACTTCTGCCCACTGGAGAGCTACTCCAGGGCAGGAAATTTTTCTTCCTGGGGTCTCCAAGGGCCTAAGGCAGTGTTTTGCATACAGAAGGTACTCAATAGAATGTCTCTGGAATTACCCAATTAGTGCGTTTATCCGGAGCACTTATATGGATTGAGTCCACCGTGCAGAAACTGGCTCTTGGCTCTGGCTCTATCCAAAAAAAGGGGAGGAAACACTTTCAAATGCCTGCCCCACTCGCTAAGTTGCTCAGGCTGGTCTCCAACTTGCGATCCTCCTGCCTCTGCCTCTGCCTGAGTCGCTGAGATTACAAGCATGTGCCACCGCGCCCAGCCATGGAAGTTTCTTAATCCTCAATACCAAAAAATAAACTTCCATAAATAGGCAACGTCACGGGCAACCGGAGCACACTACCTATTTTCCTTTGCCGGGGCTGCGCCCCTCCACACCCCACCCTTTAGACCGGAAATTCGCCGGCTTCCGTTTCCGGACGCAGCAGCAGCAGCTACTGCCCACGACAAAGATGGCATCTGGTGCGCTGTGCTGATGGCGTCACAGTAGTCGCGGACGGTGACACCATCAGCAGCGCGACGGGAGTGAGGAGTGGCGCGCCGGTCTCCCTCACGCGGCGGCGGCGGGTCCTGGCGGCAGGGACGGCGGCGACATGGCTGAGGCCGCGTCCGGAGTGAGCCGCTTCAAGGCGAAGTAAGCCCAGCGCGGGAGACGGGTTCGCTGCCGGAGTAACGGAAGCGTCCGCGGCGGGCCGAGCGCGCGTTCGGGTCGGAGAGGCACCCTGCCTGTGGAGTCGCGGGCCAGGCAGCGGTGGTAGCAGGACGGTCGGCACCGCCTGCCATGGGGAAGGGCGGCAGACCCGGCGCAGCGAGCGTCGGGTATCTAAAGAGGAGCCAGTTTCAGGGGCGTGGAGTGGGGACGAGGCGCCCCGCGGGGAAGGGGCGAGCTGAGCGCCTGTCGGCGCAGGGCTGGGTGGTCACGGGAGATGGGAACCACCTGTGATCCGGCTTCTCCCCGGAGCCAGAAGACAGGAAGTGGGTCCCTGAGTCCGGTTTTCATTCAATTCCCCAGCTTGTGCTGCACAGCGACAGCTAGAGCTCAGTGCCTGTGACACACAGCTTCATGGCACAGATCATTTCCATCCGTGCCTCAGGAGATTGAGTTGTGACAAGCACCAGCAAAGGAAAGGCTGTGCTGGCAGCACTTCTGTTGGGGGATATCTGGGTTCAGAGAATAGGATTGGTTCCATCTTGTCAAGCTGGCTTCCCAGAAGGGAATGTAGCTGCGTGTTGGAATCTGGGGGGACCCTGGTCATATGCAAGAAGCAGAGGACCTGTCCCAAGGGCTGGGCCAGGAGAATGAGGCAGCAGTGTGGACTGTGAGAGGAAAAGTTTGCAGGAGCAAGGTTTGGAAACATGTAAAGAAAAAGAAGGTTTTAAGTAGGGCTGTGACATAATCGGTTGTTCTAAAAAATAACTGGTATCACCAGACACAGTGGTAGACTWGGAAGGCTGATACAGGAGGATTGGAAGTTTGAGGCCAGCTTCAGCAACTTATCAAGGTTCTGAGCAACTTAATGAGACCCTGTCTCAAAAATAAAAAGTGGTGGACTCTGGGTTCAATCCCCAATACCAAAAATGATGATGATGATGATGATGATGATGCCCCAATACCAAAAATGATGATGATGATGATGCCCCAATACCAAAAATGATGATGATGATGATGATGATGATGATGCCCCAATACCAAAAATGATGATGATGATGATGCCCCAATACCAAAAATGATGATGATGATGATGATGACGACAATAACTGGCATCAGGGCATGGTGCCATCAATTCAGGAGGCTGAAGCAGGAGGATCACAAGTAACTCAGGGAGAYCCTGTCTCAATAAAAAGGGCTGGGGATGTAGCTTAGTGGTAGAGTGCCCCTGGGATCAGCTCTCCCAGTGCTACAGGGATGGGAGAATAACTGGCAGCATGATTGAGAGAGTAGGTAGTGTGCCCAGAAAAGAGACTGGAACTGCTATCCAGGGGAGACTGCAATACCCTGGACCAGGGTGGAGGCCATAGAGAGGGAGGAGGCCATAGAGAGGGAAAGAAGAAGACAGCATGAGCGAGGTCACAGAAGTGATACCTGCCTGGAGAGTGAGATCAGGTGAGGCTGGGCCTACAGAAGGGATCCAGGATGGAGAAGGGGTGTGCTGAACTTCAGGAGTGAAGACTGGAGAGATGGCACCCTAGGTCCTACAGGAGACCCCCAAGGCCCCTACTTAGGAGACTGGGCTGCCTGGCTGCATTCACCTGAGTCAGGCTCACCTCTCCATGCTGCAGGACCCCACATGGATCACTAATCAGTGCTGGATCTCAACCTGTCTGTAATACAGGGGTAGGAACACCCACCCACAGAAAGATGCCCAGGAGTTCCACAAGGGAAAGGGTTTGGGACAGCACCCAGCACAGGGCTAGGCACRGGGGGCTAAGGGGGTGGCAGTTCTTTACTCACCTGGTTCTCTTTCCAGCTATGCTATTGAGCGCAAGATGGAGCCTTTCTACAAGGGCGGGAAAGTACAGGTACCAGCTCCAGGGACAGGTGGGGTGGTGGATGGGGCAGGCAGCAGGTGCCCAGCATTGCCTTGATTGAGACCCCTGTGTCCAGCTGGACCAGCCTGGCCGGCACCTCTTCTGCGTCTGTGGTACCAGAGTCAACATCCTGGATGTGGCCTCAGGGGCTGTACTAAGGAGCCTGGAGCAGGTAAGGGCAGGTAAACAGGTGGGAGGGGGAGGTAGGAGGGGCAGCCCTTTCTCATGGTGCTGTGTGCTTTCCCTCAGGAGGACCAAGAAGACATCACTGCCTTTGACCTCAGCCCGGATGAGGAGGCACGTGGGGCAGGGGTGGGAAGTGAGCTCTGTGGCCTCCCTCCCACATTGCATGTGGACAGAAAGCTCACCTGCCAGCTGAACTGCACATTCCCCAGGTGCTGGTGACAGCCAGCCGGGCACTGCTGCTGGCTCAGTGGGCCTGGCGAGAGGGCAGCATTACCCGCCTATGGAAGGCAGTACACACCGCTCCTGTGGCAACCATGGCCTTTGATCCCACCTCCACACTGCTAGCCACAGGTAGGGCCTCAGCTGGGCAGGTGGGCTGGAGGGCGCAGGGCAGAGGCTTTGGACACACCAGCTCCCTTACTTCAAATGTTCCTGCAGGCGGTTGCGATGGGGCTGTGCGTGTCTGGGATGTTGTACGACACTATGGGACACACCACCTTCGGGGCTCTCCTGGAGTTGTGCAGTGAGTTGGGGCAGTGCAGAGTGGGTGGACAGAGGCACCACCTTTGGGCAGCACAGCTCACCCATCCCCCACCTGCCTGCAGTTTGGTGGCCTTCCACCCGGATCCCACTCGCCTGCTGCTCTTCTCCTCAGCCGCAGACGCTGCCATCCGCGTGTGGTCACTGCAGGACCGCTCGTGCCTGGCTGTGCTAACTGCCCACTACAGTGCTGTCACCTCACTGACCTTTAGTGCTGATGGCCATACCATGCTCAGGTCAGTGGCAGACCATGCAAGCCCTGGGAGGAAGTGAGGGCTCAAGACAGTGGGAACTGAGAATGGACTCTGGTACTAAAGGGGCTTTCTCTCCACAGCTCTGGACGTGACAAGATCTGCATTCTCTGGGACCTTCACAGCTACCAGGCCACAAGGACTGTGCCAGTGTTTGAGGTGGGGGCACCTGTAGAGAGGGCCAGTGAGTTGGACAGGGGATTGATGGGGGAATGGCAGCAGTCTTTGACCCAGCTCATCCCCAGAGTGTGGAGGCTGCTGTGCTGTTGCCTGAGGAGCCAGTTCCTACACTGGGTATGAAGAATTCAGGCCTGCATTTCCTGACTGCTGGTGACCAAGGTGTGTGGGGCTGGCCACAGGCTGACCACAAGAGCTAGGGGAGACCTGCAAGACTAATAGCAGCCCCTCTCCCACTGCACAGGCAAACTGCGCGTGTGGGAGGCAGCTTCTGGGCAGTGTGTATACACCCAACCACAGCTGCCAGGCCCTGGGCAGGAACTGACCCACTGTGCCCTGGCCCGCACTGCTGGCCTACTCCTCAGTGTCACTGCCGACCACAACCTACTACTCTATGAGGCACAGTCCCTGCAGCTGCAGAAGCAGGTGAGTGCCTGCCCCTGGAGCCCAGGGCTGGAGACACCAAGCAGCTCTCCACTCCACACAAGTCCCAGCTTACGTTCTTGCCTCCCACAGTTTGCTGGCTACAGCGAGGAGGTATTGGATGTCCGGTTCCTTGGGCCCAAGGACTCCCACATTGTTGTGGCTTCCAATAGCCCTTGCCTAAAAGTATTTGAGCTGCAGACATCAGCCTGCCAGATCCTCCATGGCCACACAGGCAAGTGGAGCTCATGATACTGGGTTTGATTGCCTCCTTACTCTACTGCCTTTTTGCCATATTGACTTCTGACCACTCTTCCCACTAGACATTGTCCTGGCCCTGGATGTTTTCCGGAAGGGGTGGATCTTTGCCAGCTGTGCCAAGGTAAGGCCTCCTGAAATGTGGAGGTGCAGGGGAAGCCAAAGCAATAGGACCACAGCCCAGCTTCTTTCCTCAACTCTTCCCATCCCAGGATCAAAGTGTCCGAGTCTGGAGGATGAACAAAGCTGGCCAGGTGGCCTGTGTGGCCCAGGGCTCTGGGCACACACACAGTGTGGGCACCATCTGCTGCTCCAGGTAGTGGGACAGGGCTGGATCCAGGAATATTAGAGGAGATGGAGGCTCAGGCCTACTAATGGGGTTCCATTTCAGGGAGGGGAAGGTTGTGGCTTTGACCTTACTCTGAGATTCTAGGCTAGAAGTGGAATAGAGATCAGGTCCAGAGAACCCCAGGTTGTTATGGGCAGGGAATCCTCAGTAGTAGTCTTGGGACAAAGTGGACCAAGGAGGGAGTGAGTGGAGAATGAATGAACGAGGTTCAGGTGGAGAAAGGGATCCAGCATTTAAGACTGGGGTCCATTTGCAAGGGGAGGACTAGAGGTATTTGGGGCAATGCCCTGGGACCACCTCTACTCTGGGCCTTGGTGTGGCAGGCCAGACCTGTGTGGTGTGCTGGCAGACATTGCTGTCTAGCCTTAGGTGTCTCTCCTCTCCCCTGCTGGGCTCTAGGCTAAAGGAATCCTTCCTAGTGACAGGCAGCCAGGACTGTACGGTGAAGTTATGGCCCCTCCCAGAAGCTCTGCTATCCAAGAGCACTGCCCCAGATGGTAGCTCCATTCTCCTGCAGGCCCAGGCCACCCAGCGCTGCCATGACAAGGTGACCACATTGGACCCTGGGTGGAGACATGGTTGAACCCTTGCTATGGTAGAGGTCTGAGCTGCTGCCACCTGCTCTCTCACCAGGACATCAACAGCGTGGCTGTCGCCCCCAATGACAAGCTGCTGGCCACAGGCTCTCAGGACCGCACAGCCAAGCTATGGGCTCTGCCACAGTGCCAGCTACTGGGTGTTTTCTCTGGCCACCGGCGTGGCCTCTGGTGTGTTCAGTTCTCACCCATGGATCAGGTGCTGGCCACAGCCTCAGCTGATGGTACCATCAAGCTCTGGGCATTGCAGGATTTTAGCTGTCTCAAGGTAAGTAGCGTCCCCTGGCCTGGACCCTCCCATCTGCTGCAACCTCACATCCTCCTCACACCTCCCCACAGACATTTGAGGGGCATGATGCTTCAGTACTGAAGGTAGCCTTTGTGAGCCGTGGCACACAGCTGCTGTCTAGGTGAGACACTGGGCACAGGTGGGGTGGGGCAGGGTGGTAGGCAGGCCCCTACACTCAGCCCTTCCCAATCCCAAACCCAGTGGTTCTGACGGGCTTGTGAAGCTTTGGACCATCAAGAATAACGAGTGTGTGCGGACACTGGATGCCCATGAAGACAAGGTCTGGGGGTTGCACTGCAGCCAGCTGGATGACCGCGCCCTCACTGGGGCCAGCGACTCCTGTGTCATTCTGTGGAAGGTTGTGGGCCATCTTGGGGGCTTGGGTGGGCTGCAGGCCATCTTGGGGGCTTGTCTGACCCTCATCTGATCCCAGGATGTGACTGAGGCAGAACAGGCGGAGGAGCAAGCCAAGCGGGAGGAACACATGGTTAAGTAAGTGGGGACCCAGTCCCAGCACCCCTGCTCTGTGGCACAGGGAAACAGGCTAGGTGGGTTCACTCCAGTGGGAACTCAGGCCCATGCCTATTGACTCCACCTTCAGCCCCAGCCAAGATCCCTGAGTGGCCCTGCCTTCCCTCCACCACCAGGCAGCAAGAGCTAGACAACCTGCTCCATGAGAAGCGGTATCTGCGGGCTCTAGGCCTGGCCATCTCCCTGGATCGGCCCCATACTGTGCTAACTGTTATCCAGGGTAAGTACCTGCTGCTCCAAGGGCAGGGGGCGGGAAATTAGACTCCAGTGACTATTGATTCCCTTTCTGGAACTTGAGTGTCCTCCTCCCATAGCCATCCGCAGAGACCCTGAGGCCTGTGAGAAGTTGGAAGCCACCATGCTGAGATTGAGGCGAGACCAGAAAGGTCCTGAACAGGCAGGAAAGGGCCAGTTGGGGGTGGAGGAGCAGGGCAGGGTGGAATGGCTTAGGAGTCAGAGTGTGACTGTCCCTGATGCCCACAGAGGCCCTGCTGCGCTTCTGTGTCACCTGGAACACCAACTCCCGGCACTGCCATGAAGCCCAGGCTGTGTTGGGTGTGCTACTGCAACACGAACCCCCTGAAGAGCTGCTGGCCTACCAGGGTGTGCGTGCTGCACTGGAGGCCCTACTGCCCTACACTGGTATGTGGGCATGGGCAGGGCCAGGGGCGGTCTTGTGGGTGCCTGGACCTTCTGACCTCCTTCTGTCCTTCCCAGAACGGCACTTTCAGAGGCTTAGCCGGACTCTGCAGGCAGCCACCTTCTTGGACTTCCTATGGCACAACATGAAGCTATCCCCTCTCTCTACTACCCCCACAGCCCTCTGAGACACATAAAGGTGTACTTTTCTATCCTGCGTGTGGATCTGAATTGTCATTTCCAAAGTCCCTGGTTATAACCTTGACTAACCAGGGATGCACTTTAGCCCCTGATGGTCTCAACCCATGAGCCAGATCCTCTACTGCCTCAGCAAACAGAGACTGGATTAGGACATTCAGAAGTTTTTACTCAAAGGAAGGAAATGGGAAAGTGGACCCTCTTGACCTGCCAGATTGGGAGTCCCACCCTCATCCACCCTTACTTATCCAGTGCTGGGGAACTACTGTCAGCCACTCTTTGGGTCTGGATCATCTGGCCCAGGACTGTTATTAGAGTACATGGCAAGTCTCCTGGCAGGGTCATATACACACTCAAGGAGGGCCCAGGGGTCCTGGAGCCCTCCCTAGTGCCCTGCAGGTAATGGTACAGCAGCGGCTCTGGATGGCACTCAATGGTGGGCGGGTGGGCACAGCAGGGGGAGTAGTAGTGGCCTCCTCTGCCGTGTCCTCACCAAGTATCCCTGTCCCACTCAGGAGTGAACCCAGCCCTTCAGGCTGCAGCAGCACTGCTGGGAGCAGACCGGTCTTGCCACTGTATCTGTAAAGGAAGACAGGGCTTGGTCAGGGAGTGGGGTGTCCCTGCCACTCTGGGCCCACCAAAGTCTTTCCCCTGCACACCTGCAGAGCCACCAGCCACGGTCTGAAGTTTGTAGCACGCGAACTCGTGCCCCCACAGGCACTGAGAGCTCATCATCACGGCTGCCTTCATAGGCACGGGAAGCACAGAACTGGGTCCCTGGGGATGAGTGTTATTTATGGGTCACTGAAGCTGCAGCAATCAGAATCCTACCTTGCTGTGGGCACCAGGCACACTCTGGCCTGGTGGGGAAAAGAATTGGGCTCATACCGATGGTTCCCAGGTTCAGGCCTGCCTCTTTGTCCTGGCCTAGGGCCATCTCCTCCAGGTAGGGAGCTGGAAACCAGGCTGTCTGTAGGTCCTCATTTTCCACCAGCCACCAACCTGCATGAGAGGTGAGGGAGGGGATCAGATCCTAATGTCCACTCAGATTCAGAAGGCCATGGGTTCCTGTTGGCCCTACCTGAGGGGTGTCGCAGCAGCACATCCAGGCTTTCCTGGGCCCCTGCAAGGAAAGGCCTGCCCTGTGTATCCTGGGTGCGAAAGGGCTGCAGGCAGCGAAGCCTCTGAGCCTCCAGGCTGTGGATGGCAAGACTGTTGGCCGGTTGTGATAAAGGCTCCTCTGGGGCAGGCAGGATCACCAGGCTGAGAAGGGTAGCCCAAAGGTTGAGTGTTGGGAATGGGCCTGACACCCTAACCAGTCAACACAGCCTCCAGGCCTGCCTCTTCAAGGACTTGCCAACATGGGTGTGTGGGGGTGGGGTGGGGGTAGGTTAGGCACCTTCCAGGAGGCAGCACGGGCTCCAGGTCCAGGGGTTGCGGTGCAAAGAAGTTGGTGAGTGCCAGGCTCCTAGATACCCGCTCAGCAGTGGCCAACAGCGCTTGTGCATAGGTATCCAGCAGCCGAAGGCGTGCTAGGCCGCGGCCCGTGCGCCCCCCTCGCATTAGCAGTGGTATGTCTGTGGGCACAAGAAGTATGCGCTGTGGTGTCCCGTCCTGAGCCAGGCTCTGCCTTCCCCACTCCCCTGGGACCCTTGCCGGCCTCACCAGGAAAACTAGGAAGAATGCGGTCAGATCTCCGCAGCAGGCCCGCCTCCACGGGAAAGGTGTCCTTGAGGGTCTTCTGCAGGGAAGAGGGAGACATGAGACTACCAGAGCACAGTCTTTGGGAAGCTGGGGTCCCTCTCGGGGATCACAGGGCTGGAAGCCCAAAACGAGCAGGAAGGGTCTCTGGTGGTTGCCCGGAGGCCGCTTGCCCAGGTCACTTACTTGGAGCTGTCTGAACTCGCCCCAGCTCCTGCGCACAAAGGTGTTGCTGCCATCAGACCAGCGAACGGAAAAGGAGAACGTCTAGGGAGGAAAGGTGGGTACCTCGGAAGCTGGGCCTGACACCCCCAGCTTCTCCTCCCCCTTAGGACTAGTGGAGACCCAATGCGGTCGTACCTGGAGCCGCTGCACCTGCACCAGAGCCACCGCGCGCACAGACAACGGGTGCCTAGGGCTAGCCATTACTGGCTGGCCTGGCGTGATTCCGGAGAGCAGCAGGATCGCACCGCCTACCTGACCTTCAGGGGGCTCCAGCAGCCGGAAGATTGGCTTGAGGGGAATTCCCACAGGTGCTCTCAGCCAGGTCTCTGCAGAGCTGCCACACCTCTCCCCAGGTCTTTCCGCTTTCCTGGCGGTCTCCCAAGCCCAAGGCGGGAAGGAGGGTGGCCCGGGGAGGGGACAAAACCTGAAAAAAGGACCGCCACCTGGCACCCTCCCTCCTGAGTCTGACTCATCAAAGTGCCGCCTCCCCTGGCCCACTCGGCCTCTCCCCTCCCAGGGTGTACCCAATAGCCCTCTCTTTGAGTCACCTGTGGAGCTCTGCAGTTGTAGTCTGGAATCAAGGACCCCRGTGCTTAGGGCTTCAAGTGCATTCTCTGGCTTAATTTTATTTTATTTTATTATTATTTTTTTAATATTTATTTTTTAGTTCTCGGCGGACACAACATCTTTGTTGGTATGTGGTGCTGAGGATCAAACCCGGACCGCACGCATGCCAGGCGAGCGCGCTACCGCTTGAGCCACATCCCCAGCCCCGTCTGGCTTAATTTTAATGTGGGAGAAGGAAGGGTCTTCATGTTCCCAAGTCATAAGAGGAAACTTAAGATAAATGGATAATTACTATGAGTTTCTCTGAATAGGTTTAGGGAGGGACAGACCTCATAAGCCAAAGCCCAGGGGTTCTCTTACAGTGGGGAGACTTGGGGCAAGATAAAGAAAGTCCATCTTTTGGTGACTTCACTTGAGTGTTGGGGAAGTGGTCACCAGGACTGTTTTGAGAGCCATCTCTGAATCCATGTCACAACTTACTGTAAATATCATCTCTGTCATCAGGCCTATTTCCCTATCAGCTGGGGTGGAGGAAGCCCTATAATCCCTGGACAGAGGGCTCACCCAGGAACCTCACCTCTCTGGGCTGCTTCCTTATTGTGGAGATTTCCGGAGCCTGACCCACTCTGAAGCACAGAGGTTCTTCCTGGTGCTGGCATCAGGATTCCCCTACTCCAGGCCCTCCAGAGATTTAGTTTCTGGGTTATCCTTCTATGAAACTATTTTGGCCTCAATAAAGGGTCTTTATGTGTCCATCCCACTAGGGCTCTTTTTGAACCCCTGGAAACTTCCCTAGTCTTAGCCCAGGCAATGAATATGTGACAGTGGCAGAGTGCCTTCAGCTCGGCTGTCACCCTCCCTTCAACCTCAGCTGAGGGCATGCTGGCCTGGTGGGGTCCAGGGTAGGATAGCTCCTGCTCCCCTGTGTAGGAATCCAGCTTGACGTGACTACAGCCATCTTGGTCATTAACTCCATCTTTCCTCCCCCACAACACTGTCATATATTCCAAATCCTACAGGATTAACGAAATCATTAAAATGGACAAAACTGGGCATGGTGGCACACATCTGAAATCCCATCTTTGGGATTATAATTCAAGGCCAGCCTGGGTAACTTCATGAGATCCTATCTCAAAAAAAATTTAAAAGCCTGTGGATGTAGCTCAGTGATAAGAGTGGCTCTGGGTTCTATCCCCAGCACCAGGAAAAAAACCAATCTGTTTCCTGCCAGGCACTTAGGCCTGGACTATCTCTTAAATGCTTGAAAATTTTTGAGACAGCCCAGATACATTCAAGTTGGACTTGGGTTATCTTTGCTGTCTTGGATATTAAACCCTTTCCTCTGTCTGAGGGTGCGGGAATCCTCCTGTCTTGCTTTTTATGTCAGTCCCTAACAAACTTCACTTTGTGAAATCCTGGATTCTCCCATCCAAGAACTAAGCAGGCCTGACCCCACTTACCTTCCTAGATTGGAGATCAGGTACATTCATGGTGGTTCGGCCATAGATTTGTCTGCTTCTTTCTTCAGTCTCAGCACTCTTGTCTTTATTTTATTTATTTATTTTTTAAATATTTATTTATTTATTTTTAGTTCTCGGCGGACACAACATCTTTGTTGGTATGTGGTGCTGAGGATCGAACCCGGGCCACACGCATGGCAGGCTTGAGCCACATCCTCAGCCAGCATTCTTGTCTTTAGTAACCAGATTTTTCAAAAACATCCTGGAACACAACAGAGAAGCTGGGGAAGTGTGGAGTATTCACAGCCATTGACCTTGAGGGATTCTGAGGCCCTCCTTCTGCACACTCCCACCAACTTTGGACCTGAAAGGGTAAAGTTTCTAAGCTGGAAAGCTTGAATGTAAAAGATTAGGTATTATTAAGTTCCTCTGTTACACCCAGAACCTGAAATTCCTGAGATAGTTAAAACAACGCCCTACTGGCCATTTAGCCTAGGGCCTGTGCAGTTCGTCAGTTTGAATGTGTAACCCGCTTACGAATGACCAATCACCCTCGCCCGCCAATGAATGTGCCAATCACGTCTCAGAGTTGTTGTTCAAATTCCCCRCGCCTCATGATGATTTGTTCTGATGTATGCAAAGCCTCCCGCCCTCCCCAAAAAGTGTACTTAAGCTCTGCTTGACCTTTGCTCTGGGCTCTGGGCTGCTCTCCCTTCTTGAGTGAGCACAGAGTCCCAGCGCCCTGGAATGGATCCCYAATAAATCCCCTTTTGCCAATTGCATGGAGTCAGTCTCTTGGGTGGTCTCTCCCTCCGACGTTTCGCCGTACCTTTACAGACCCTCTCCCCTTTTTCTTCCCTATAGCCCCTACCTTCTCTCATTTGGATAACTATAACAGTTCCCATCACTGTGGATGGCAAGGGGTCCATCACCTCTAAGAAATCCATTCTCCTCTGGGCATCATAGCTCATACCTATAATCATAGCAACTCATGAGACTGAGGCAGAGGAACTGAAGTTCTAGTCCAGCATGGGCAACTTAGTGAGACCTTGTCTAAAAATAAAAAAGGGCTGGAGATGCAGCTCAATAGCATAGTGCCCTTCAATCCTGCAAGACATATTGTAAAATAAAAAGGGGCTGATGGTGATGTAGCCCAGTGATAGAGGACTCTAGGTTCAATCCCCAGGACCACCAAAAAAAAAAAAAAAAAAGAGGATGATGAGGAAAAGGAGGAAGGAAATCCAATCTTTGTCAAACAGACATGAGTTCAGATCAAAGTGCCCTGCGCCAAATCATCCAGCACCTTCCCAGCACCTTCCCACTGGTTTTTAAAATAAGTCTCAATTCCACCACAGCCAACAAGAAACCTGGTTGACCCTGGCCCACCAGCAGATTTCCCTCAATCTCCTCCTCCCTAGAGGCCCATTCTGCTGGCCTTTCTTCTCCTGCAAAATGCCAAAATCCCAGGCTTGTCCTCGAAGGGGCTGCTCAGCTAATTTCTCACCGGTCAGGCCTCTGCCTAAGGGTCCCCACCTCAGGGAGGTTTTCCATATTTCCCACACAACATGCATGGTCCACCACACAGTTTGCAAGTGAACATTTATTGGTGTGACTCTTTGAATTTTTCCTGTCTTGGTCACTAAACTGTAAGCCAAGAAGGTTAGGAACAGCACCTTGTTCTGGATCCTGCCGGCTCCTGGATCAGTGCTTGGGATAGAGTAGGTATTGCAGATACTTGTGGAATGAACAAATGAACGCATGGAGATAAGGGAATATCCGAGGCCGCTGCCAAGTTGTTTTAACAATCCCTCTTGCAAGCCCTGCGCGGTGGTGCACTCCTGAAATTTTGGGAGGATCGCAGGCTCGAGGCTGGCTTGGCCAATCTATGGAGACCCTGTCACTAAATGAAAAGGGCAGGGGTACAGCTCAGCGCTGGCGTGCAAGAGGGCCTGTGTTCAGTATCCAGTACAGCAAACCAAAGCAACCTTTAACCAGGCCATAGGATGCGGAGGACAGTAGGCAGGCGCTTCCGGACTCGAGGCCGCGGCCCAACACCGCGTCGCCAAGGCCTAGTGGCCGTGACGCTGGCCGAGGCCCGGGCCCTAGCGCGCCACCTCTGTGCGGTCATGCCCCGCCACGCGTTGCCCGGCGCCAGGCCCGGCGGATGGGCGCCCCGCTCGGCCGAGGGCACAGAGCCTGGCCGCAGGCACGCCGGACGGTCCGAGCGAAGCGATGGGGGCGACGCGGGCCGCATCCCGGACCTCGCCTGGGCCCCAGCCCGAAAGCTCAACGCGGCCGCGGACACGGCGCGGCTTCCACACTACACTGCTCTTCTACTGGAGGAAGCGCGAGCGCCGCCACGGAAGGCACACGCCAGTCCCGGGCCGGGGAGGGAGGCCCAAGGGCGCCAGCAGAGCGCAGACGCCTAGCCCCGCCCAGCCCTCCGCCGCCACTCCCTCCCGCGCCGGGCCCCCCGGCTCCCCGGCGCCCAGCACCTGCCCCCCTCCCCCCGCGCCCGCGCCCGCCCCCGCCTCGGGGCCCGCCCCCGGGCCCGCCCCCGGCACCTCCCCGAGCCCCGCCCCCAGCTCATGCGGGCGCGCGCTGGCGGCTGCGCGCGCGCTGGCCTGGAGGCCGAATTGGAGGCCCATCTGGAGGCCGGGCTGGCCCGGCAGGCTGTGCGCGGGCAAGATGGCGGCGCCCGGGAAACAGACGCGGTTCTGCCGCGACAGCCTCTTCTCCTTCCTGCCCGGCGGCGCGCGCTCCGAGGTGACGGACGACCTGGCGACCGACGCGCGGGGCCGCGGCGCGGGGCGCAGAGATGCCGCCGCCTCGGCCCCAGCGCCGGCCGCGGCGCCCAACCCGGAGTCGCAGGACGCGGAGGGCGCTTCGCGGAGGCAGCCGTGCCGGGCCTGCGTGGACTTCAAGACGTGGATGCGGACGCAGCAGAAGGTGCAGATACCCCGCGCGACCTCCCAGCCCTGGCCTTTGGGCCCACACCTTGTTCTCGGGTGCCTTTGCCAGACCTCGAGGGCCCAGGGCCCGCGGCGTGGCTGTGCCCAAACTTTGCCCCCACCCCCAGGTAGACCTGAACTTTGAGCTGTCTGCAGCAGGAGGGCCGAATCAGCTGCAGGGCTTTTGTCTGGAGTCTGGGCTGCTGGCTGGTGTTGAAAAGGA